AAAAAATGTAACATTTATCATATTTGTATCCTGCATGCCCTGGCAAAGTCAGATTGGTTAAAGCCAGCTTGTCATAGTAAGTCTGGAAGACATCAGAGGGTTACAATTTGGTGGTTGTTATACTGACATAAAGATGCTAATCTTCTGGCCATGAAATGCCAGTCTACCAAAACACCCACATATTTTATTGTTTCATTGAATCTAAAGGGTAGTTTCCAAAAAGTGATTCTGGAAATTTATGCTTAATTCCATAATATTTATGCTGCAGTCTCAGAGAATTATATCCTGCCTCCTTGCCTCCCAGTCCTGTTCGCTTACATACATACATATGGCAATGATAGTCAAATCATCAGTTACAACCTCCTGAAATAATAAACAAATTTAATAGGGGTTATGGTTGCTTCTGGGGACGCGGTGGCATAGCGGCTTAATGACACTGAAAGTTGCCGGCCAGAAATGGTCAACACTTCAGCGGTTCGAGCCCAGCTTCGCGCAGCAGAGTGAGCTCCTGCTTCCTCCCCAGTTTCTGTCAACCCAACAGTTCGAAAACTTATGTGAGTAGATAAATGGGTACTCTCACTCTGGTGAGGAAAAATGCTGGCAGCGCCTTGCAAAAGGAGTCGGGAGCAGTTGCCGGTAGCGCGGAAGCCGCGCTCACCCAAAAAAGGCATGAAGCAACGGAAACCCCGCCTCCTGCACTCTGCTCTAGGAAGGAGGCACTGGCAAACCACTTCTGAAACACCTTGCCTTGAAAACTGCAAGGACTCGTCCAAAGCAGTCACCGCAGAGTCGGTAACGACTGAGTGTGGATTAAAAAAAAAAAAATGCTTGCTTCTGCTGGATGCAGGAGACCTTCTCCAGCTGCTGATGCTGGATCTAGTCAGGCACCAATAACAGTGGCTCCTGCAAGAACTGCAACTCAGTCTTGAGTGCTATCTAAGGTGACTTGTCCAGGATCAAGGTATTGCTGCCTAGTCTCACTTTCCCACTCTTTCAAGGGCAGTTCTTCATGGGTTTCTTCCTAGAGGGCATCATACTAGATCTTGGTGCTGAGCCTGACTGCCTGTTCCAGGCAGCCCAAATGTGCTGTCTTCCCAATGCAAGGCAGTTCTCTGGAACAAAGTGAAGAGGTGCAGTGCTTGGGCTGCCTGGAGTGGGCTAACAAGCTCAGGACCAAGGCCTCCTTTAGGAGAGGGGGAAGATGCAGCTGTTGGTTGACTCATCAGCGGGAACAAAAACCCTTGTTCTCTGGGCAAGCCAGCTTGCTCAGGTCATAGGTGGCCATAGCAAGCCACCTGAGAATTACCTCTGGCAATCAAGCTGGGACAGGCAAAGCCTGGCTCAGAGGCTTCCCAGTGGCTCGCCCATCAAGTAGATACTGGGCCAAGCTGCTGTTCATGAAGGTCTTCCCCTCCAGCAGCCAGCTTTCCTAGAATGGTTTCTCCAGAATAGGGCACAAGGCGGAACCTGGGCCAAGCTGCTTCATAACGCGGCTGTGATAATGGAAGGCAATATGAAGTGCCACTGCTAAAAACCTCCCTGGTCAGCCCTGATTGTGCTAATTATCTCTGTCCATTTGTCTCTCTTTCCTTTCCTGAAAAATCCAAGCAGAAGTTGAAAGGCTCAGAGCCCCCATCCTGCTACTCCAGAGTTGGGAACTATGGGTAGAATCTGCACCCTGTGCCTCCCCAATCATTTCAAAACGTGGCAGGGGCACCCCACTGAGCAGAGATGAGGAGGAGGAGGAGGAGGAGGAGGAGGAAAGAGGTGCAGTACTCAGGCTACCTGGAGCAGGTACACAGGTTCAGGGCCATGATCTAGTATGATGGTGGGGCCGCCAAAAGAAATCCGAGAACAGCCACCCTAGGAAGAGGAAGAAAGTTAAACTAGACAAGAAAGCTTCAGTCCTGTCTGGGTCACTTGGGTGGCGCTCAGGAACAGGTTGTGGATATTTCAGGAACTGCTGTTAGAAGTGTAAAAGCCATACTGGAGAGTCCCAGGTACTACTTCTGAAAACAGTGCTGTTTTGGGTACACTAGTCTGGCTTGACAAACACAGCTGGAATGCTGCCAGACCACACTCCCATTCTGACTGGAAAAAGTAATAAGAGCGGGAACCATATCAGAGCACAGTGAAAAAGTTTTCTTTTGGGTGAGGGTGTATACAAGTTAATAGCCACCAAATTTGAGATCTTCTGATCTAGGGACTTAAGATTATGCCTTCAGCACAGCCAACTATTTATCCTTTGCATCAAATCCTAAGAGGCACTGAAAGATCTACATTGGTTCTTAGCCACATAAAATGGACTGGGGAAATGCTAATAAACTGAGACTAAATCATGACAAGACAGTTACTGTTACTCGGTAGTTAATTTGAGTTGAGCTATGTCTGTCCTGTCCTGTAAGGGGACACACCTTCCTTAAAGACCGGGTTCTCAGTTTAAAAGTGCTCATGATCCATAATTATCATTAGGAGTACAAATGCCCCTATAGATTAGGATGGTTTCTTCTAGCATAAGCCTCTGTGCCAGCTACAACCTTAATTATTCGGGGATCAGCTTGCTTCAAAAATAGATTCTCTGGGAAACTCTCATTTCAATTACCATTAATACAGGGCTGCCTCTGAAAATGGTCCAGAATCTTCAGTCAAATGATAATATAGTTCTGAGATTGGTAGCTGGAACTCAGCACTATGCACATTTATTGCCAACAAAATGGCTGTTATTCAGTTTCCAACTCTATTTTGACCCCTTAAGATCTTCCTGATTTGGGCCCACAGTACTAACAGATGAAATCTTCAAGCATGCATTTACATAAATCCCTGAGTTTTTCTTTTGGTGCCTGTATCAAGGGAGGCATGATAGTTGCAAGCAAAAGGAGCTTTTTGATAGTAGCACCCAGTTACACAGTGTGAGCTCAGAGACAGACTTCCATCTAGTTTCAGCAATTGATCGTTACCTTTTTTATTTTTCTAAGGCATTTGTTACAGCTTTTAAGCTTATCTTAAACTTGGTGATTTTTCTTTCATACTGTTCATTTCAGTTTTATTCAATTAAATCAGAAGAGTCTCATAAGCTCAAAACAGGTTCATTCATTCATTCATACATACATACATACATACATACATA